GCATGCGTGGGACACGCCCAGCCCTGCTTAGGAGGAACCAGGGTCAGGGAGTTTAGGGAGGGGAGGAGCATTTGGGCTGGAGGGCTCAGTGACGGGGACCAGAGGGCACTGTGGAACCTGCTGGAGCCAGCTGGAGTTGAAGATGGGCCTGTGTTGGGCTCTGAGGAGCAGTGGTGCTCACCAGGTCATAGGCTGGGGGATGCCTTCACCTGGATGTTCTGGTTTGCCGCGGCTGCAGCGCCTGGCATGGCCACTCGCTAGGGGGTGCTATCACCTGGACATTTGTCCTGCTTTGCTGCAGCCCCAGCACCAGGCCTGGCCACTCATTCCTGTGTCAAGTGCCTCAAACATCCAACATCACCTCTGTCGTCTGTCACCTGGGAAGCCTAGGTTCAACACACTGTGTCCTGTGTCCTGGAGACAGTTCTGGCTTCTGGTCATGTATCTCTGTGTCTCTGGAGGGCTCTGGTGAGCATGGCGTGTCCATCCCTGTTTGGTTTTGTTCCTAAAGCCTCTGCCCCATCTACTGTGGCCTCAGGAGGCTGTGCTGCAGGCCCAAGCCACCCCACGGCTCGAGCCACCCTCACCTGGCCTCTTGTGGTTTTCAGGAAGCTGGACCAGGCTTGTGACACCATGTGCAGACCCAGCTGCTGCCCCGGACACAGCTAGGGTGACAGATGCCTCCTGTGGTGCCCGGCCTGTCCCTCCACCCCCTGAGTGCAGGGTCTCGCTGGGCCTTGATAAGAGCCTAGATCTTGGCTGTGAGGCCTGAATGATGTCAGGGGCTCCCTCCCTTCTCGACATCACAAAGTACTTTCCAGCCTGGCTTCTCCCTGCAGGATCCAGACACACTCTTTTCCAATGTGTAGTTTTGCGACTTTTCCTTGTTTGAAGCAGTCGGGTAGCAGTGGGGTCATCCCAGGACGCAGTTAGTGCATATTCACGTTTGCAAAGGAACATCGGGGTTTTCCCAGCACCTTCTAGAGGACCTGGAAGCAAACCAGGGGAGGAGGGGCAAAGGGGCAGGCGGGTGCACATTCACCCTGGAAGGGCTTCTCCCTCCTGCCCATCAGACCACCTGAGAGGAGCCTCCAGACGGGCATGCGTCCTCGTCCACACCGCTGCCTCAGGATGTGACCATGGCATTTTCTTTTGCTTGCACAGAGGCCAGAGTGGAATGGGAGGGTATGTGGGCACATCTGGGGGGCCACGCAGAGCTCACTGCTGAGCATGGCACTCCTGTCCCACGCGGTCCTGTCCCAGCCTACAGTGTGCGGCACAACCCTGCATGGCGTCCCTGACCCTGCCACAGCTCTCTGCTCCAGCTTGTGGCCAGGCCTCCCTTTTTTGCAGCCTCCTCACATCTCGCCAGGCTGAGGCTGAGTCCAGCCCGAAGACCCTATCACACCCAGTTCCTGTCCTTGAGGAGGAGAGAGCAGAGGTAGCTGGGGGTGACTGTCAGGGCCTAGAAGGACCGGGTGTGATGGAGAAGTGGGTTTTCAGCTTTAGTCCATGTGAGTTTTGGATCCTCAGTTTGGTACAGGAGGACTTGGGCGTGTTGGAAGTGCTGGTCTCCCTTCCGACTCCAAGTTTCAGGAAATCCAGAAACATATCACGTATTTCCACGCAGACTCAGCCTCGGGTGGAGGCAGGTTTTTGTGTGACTTACTGACTTCAAGGATGTACAGAGGGAGAATGTGAAGTGTCTTAGTACAGTTTTTATATCGTTCACATGTCGATGTAATTACATTTTGGTTATACTGGCTGAATTGAGGTTTTTTTTTTTTTTTTACCTGCTTTTTAGTTTTTTAAAGGGGGCTACTAGGAAATTTGAAACGAATATGTGTGTTGGTTATGTCCATGACTGGGCAGGCTCTGCACGCTGAGCCTTTAGGGCACCATCAGTGGCTTGGGGAGTGACTTTGGACATAGATTTAGGTCTTAGGAGACCCATGGTGTTTTGAAGGGGGCAACTAAAAATCGACTCTTTATGATGAGATTGTGTGTGTGTGTGTGTGTGTGTGTGTGTGTGTGTGTGTGTGTGTGTGTGTGTGTGTGTAGGGACTCACTCTGTTGCTCAGGCTGGAGTGCAGTGGCACGGTCACGGCATACCTCGACCTCCTAGGTTCAGGTAGGTGATCTTTCTGCCCCAGTCTCCCAAGTAGCTGAGACTACAGGTGCCACCACACCTGGCTAATGTTTTGATTTTTTTTGTAGAGAGAGGGTCTCACTATATTGTCAAGCTGGTCTTGAACTCCTGTGCTTAAGTGATTCTCCCACCATGATCTCCCAAAGTGCTGGAATTATAGGCATTAACCACTGCCTATAAAACATAAAACATTTTTTATTTGTACAAATGACGTGTTTTTGGTGGGAAAATTAGAAAGTACTGATTAGACAAAATTAAACATCCTATTTTAGAAGGAGACGATGTCCGTTTTCTAGCAATAATTCCGTCAGTATTTTGCTTAGGTAAGAATTGGTACACAGATACCGCTTTGCATTTTTGCAGTGACCTTCAGATTAACAAAGCACTAAGCTGGCCTCACACACCATCTCATCTTAAACATGTGTGCCTGATGTAGTGCTGGGTGGGTGTGGCGGGATAGGAGCAGGAATTCAGAAGGGCCAGTGATGGCAGGTGGTGGTGACCTTTGTTCTTTCCCAAGTTGATGGCAGGGCCATGTGGCAGGGTGGGCTGCTGCCGCTGGGCACTCTGCCTTTACCCAGTGACTAAGCAGGACTGTGGGTGTCACTGACTTCACTGGTGTTTTTCCTGCCCTGGGCAAGGAAGCCTTTGCACTCACGCAGTTGAGACGTTTTCCAGCCCTGGAGGGGCAGAGGCCATCAGACCACCCACGCCTCTGTTGACACTCACAGGCATCCTCCCACTGAGATAGGTTTGAGATGCTGACTGTCATGGATATGGTGCCATGACCCTGATCTCAGAGCAGCATGGGCCCGACGCCAAGAGGAGATGCTGGCATGTGGGGATGGGGTATACCCTGCAGTGCATCCCCCCATGTGTGCAGTGTGCTTGGGAACCACAGAAGGGAAGTCAGAAGAGAGGATGACACCACCTTGGAAACCTTAGCAGTGTTACATCCCTGTGCTTGCCTGGCCCTGTCCTAACTTCTGTCTACTGACTCAGAGCCATTCTGAGATGCTCCCTGGGGCTGTGGGACCAGCAGTTGTGTGATTACCTGTCCTTTCTGAGTGCTGGGTGGTGGCATCTTAGGTACCAAGACCCACAGGTTACATAGCAGGGCAGCAGGGTGACTTGTGAAACAGACGTCTCAACAGAAGCCCTATTTTTTTGAGTTGGGGTCTCACTCTTTCGCCCAAGCTGGAATGCAGTGGCATGATCCCGGGTCATCATAGCCTTGATCTCCTAGGCTCAGGTGATCCTCCTGCCTCAGCCTTCCTTGTAGTGGGACTACATGCGTACCACCATGCCTGGCTAATTTTTGTCTTTTTTGTGGAGATGAGGTCTCACCATTTTGCCCAGGCTAGTCTTGAACGTGGGCTCAGGTGATCTCTCACCTTGGCTTTCTAGAGTACTGGGGTGACAGACCTGAGCCACCACGCCTGACCTGGAAATGCTTTTGAAAGCCCAGTAGGAGCCTTCTTGGGGAAAATTACCGTAGTGACCACTTCTAGAGTATTCACAAAACCCACCTCTTTTTTGTCCTCTCTAAGGTTGGAATTTTTTTCTTCTCATTTGCAAATGATGAGGCCCACAGGTCACAGAGGACGACCCCCCTGAGAGATGACCTGGGGTCAGCCTTTGAGCCCAGTGTCCCAGGGAGCCCATGGGAGGCTCCAACGGAGGGAGTGACAGATGTGGCACCTGGGCCCTTGCCCAAGCCCTGGTGTGAGGAGGCAGTGGGTAGCCCCTGCCCTCTCAGCCATGCAGACTTGTCCTGTCCCGGGAGTCCTTGTGCTGTGAGACGTCCCCTCATGTGTGACTGTGTGTGTAACTCGTGCAGCAGACCTGCACCCGTAGCGTCACATCATAGGGCTCTGTGTGGCCCGTTCATCTTCACTGCACAAACCGTACAGTAAAAATAATTAGGGTTGCTTTTAAAAAGACACAGGCTAGATATGGTGGCTCACGCCTATGATCCCAGCACTTTGGGAGGCTGAGGTGGGAGGGCCACTTGAGGCCGGGAATTCGAGGTCAGCCTGGACAATGTATTGACACCTTGGCTCTACAAAAGAGAAAAAGGAAGGAAGGAAAGGAAGAAAGAAAGAATGAACTCATGTACCCTTGCCATCCTAGCATGTCATATATCTTCTTTTTCCAAGGTCTTTACCTATGCAGGCATTTTTATTTTTTACTTTTATTAATTAAAAAATTTTTTTTTTTTGCAGAGACGAGATCTCATTATGTTGCTCAGGCTGGTCTAGAACTCGTAGTCTCAAGTGAGCCTCGTTAAGTGCTGGAATAACAGGTGCCTGGCCTATTCTACTTAAGATTTTTTTTCATAACCTCAATGAATCTTCTGTAAACATAATTTTTATTTGATAATAATCAAGGCAGAGGCACAATGAGGCTTTGACTTTTTACGTATATTCCTGTCTCAAATATTCCTTCCCCTGAGGTGAGAGGATTACTTGAGCCTGTGGGTTGGAGACCAGCCTGGGCAACTTGGCAAGACCTTGTCTCTACAGTAAATAATTAAAAAAAAAAATTAGCTGGGTGTGGTAGTGCACGCTTGTAGTTCCCGCTACTTGGAAGTCTGAGGCGGAAGGACTGCCTGAGTCCTGCAGGTCGAGGCTGTGGTAGCTGTGAGTGTGCCACTGCACTCCAGCCTGGGCGACAGAGTGAGACTCCAACTCAAAAAAAAAAAAAAAAAAATTCCTTCCCATCATTAGTGCCTTTGTAGTTGTTGTTTGGCTGCACACTTACCCGCTGACCCGGTTAGCTGTGAGTTACTTAATCACTCTGTGTTTTGTTTTCCGTTTGTGATGGTGTCTTCTTCCTTTTGTTTCTGTAGGAAGTTCTCCAGCAGCTGATTGTAATGAATTTGCCCAACGTTTTGATGATTGGCAGAGACCCGCTGTCTGGTGAGTGAAAGTCCCCCTGCCCCTACTCACCCCCTCATTTCCCCTGTGCCCCCACCGGGCCTGAGCAGCTGTGTGCTGCAGAGCTCGGGCTGCCATCTTGGAGCCTGCATAGTGACACAGGCAGTGGCTTTGGGGAGGTTTTAAAGAGTGGGACTGTCACCTGTGGTATGAACCATGTGTCTTCCTTGGGAATGAGCCTTCCTGGCCCCTCAGGTATGCACACAGGCAGGTGAGTCCTGCCCTGCTCCTTCCAGGAGGACAGGTGTGGGTTCATGCCTGGGCCATGTGCTGGGCACACCTCCCCTGTGAATGTGGAATCAGACAACACCATCATGGTGGGCAGACAGGGAAGTAAGAGTCTCTCCAGGGAGCACTGGGTCCTGGAAGGCTAGTTCATGCTCCTGGGTCGCTCACCAGGCATCTCCCCAAGGGGCAGGGACTCACAGAGTCCCAGGGCCTCCCCGTCCCTGGCACCTGGTGTAAGTTTGGGAGATGGGATGCAGCATCCTCCCAGTACCCCCAGAAACTCGGGGCACAATCCTACCTGGCATGTGTACTTGCTGCACTCACACCCCAGGCATTAACAGAGTGAGGGGACCTCCCTCTCACCTCCATGGGTGGTCGCTGTCCAGGGCTTATGGATGGAAGGTCCCAGGCCCTGGACAAATGCCCTCACTGGCCAGGACTCCCTCATGCCAGTGGAGACCTCGTTACCACCTTTGAGCCCAGGGCCTTGGCCTCAGGAAACATACCTTCAAGGTGGGGCAGACCTCGTTCCAGACACTGGTGCCTTTCCCAAGGACTCAGGCCTCCTTGATAGGCATCTCAGAAGAGCCTTCTGCAGTGTGGCCATCCTTCATCCTTCTGTGTGACAGTACCTAGAGTCACTGAGACTAGAGAAGTCTCCAAGGACTTGCTGAGAGCACAACCCCAGGGGAGCGACCCTCTCTCAGCAGCAGGTCCTAGCATAGCAGCAGTGGCTTTGTGAGGCAGGGGAGGCTCTTTCTGGGCTCCAGCTGGCTGGTATCCTCTTTTCTTTGTGGGAACCCAACGGAAGTGCATTCTGTCACCTCCTGGTCTTCATGCTGGACGTGAGCCCTGGTAGCCTGGTGCATTCTGGCTTTTACTTCCCAGGTCCCCTGAGAAAGGTGGGGTTACCACAGGCAGCCTGTTTTAGCTGCGGCCCTGGCTCCCAGGGCAGGGGGATGCGCGTGCTGTCTGTTGTGACTGTGAGGAAGTGGACTCTGTTTTGCCCAGCAGAGGTGAGCCACCTCCCTGACTTACTGGAGGCTGGTGTTAAGGGAGAGGTGAGAGCAATGCCGGGAGATGGTGGGTCACGTCTTGTCTGTCCTGGGGACAACAGAGAAGTAAGAGAGGAGGATGCTGGCGGCTTGAGCCCTCAGGAAACCCATCGTGCACTGAGCACTGAATATGTTGAAAAATGGAAACAATTCTGGTCGTGGTGGTTCAGGCCTGTAATCCCAGCATTTTGGAGGCCAGGGTGGGAGGATTGCTTAAGGCCAGGAGTTCGAGACCAGCCTGGGCAACTTAGCAGGACCTCATCTCTACAAAAAATTTTTGAAAGTAGCCAAGTGTGGTGTTGTGCATCTGTAGTCCCAGCTACTCGACAGGCTGAGGCAGAAGGATCACCTGAGCCCAGGAAGTCCAGGTTGTGATGAGCCATGATTGTGCTACTGCACTCCAGCCTGGGTGACAGAGGGAGACCCTGACTCAAAAAACAAACAAACAAACAAACAAACAAAACAAAAGGGCACATGGATCGGAGAGCTCTGATCCTAGCACAGAAAGGTGTAGAGAGATGAGACAGTGGGTGCTGGGAGAGCCCCAGGTGAGAGTGACGCCCAGTGCCACCAGCTCAGAGGCCCTGGCCAGGGCCGACTGACTTGCAGGGCCACGGTCTCACGGGTGGCACGTGGGGCGGGGCAGCGAGCTGGGTGGTGCATGGGTGGGTTTGGTGGGGGTCCCCAGGGCTCGGAGAGCAGAGGAGGTCGGCAGGCCATGGTCACCAGCAGGAAGTTGCAGTCATGTGTGCATGCCAGGGCCAGGAACACGGATTTACGAGATGGCATTTCCAGTTTTAAAAGTAGATGTGTGAGGCTTTTTGTGTCTCTTTTTTAAACAAAGATCAAAGTGGTTTCTGTGTTTGTGTGGCTGGCAGGGGTTGGGCTGAGTATGCTTTCTAACTGACTCTGTTACATGCATGTGGGGGCAGGCTTCACCCTTCTGGGCGGGTGCTGACACCCTGCTGTGATTTATAACACTTTACAGTTTGGGGTTATTTTTCTGTTTCTGGGAAACACATCACAGTGGAAGCAGGTTCCAGATTCTAGATCCCAGCAGAGCATCCAGGCCACCCTCTCCTCTACATAGTGACACTGAGGTCCCGAAAGGCCGGGATTTGTCCCCTTCCTCTGACCTCAGATGGGGTGGTGTCACAGCTCGTAACACCAGGGGGTTTATCTGGCTGTCTGGCTCACCCCCTGCCCGTCAGACAGAAGGGTCTCTTTTCCCGCCCTGAATGATGCAGCACATGAGAAACAGCACCGCAGATGCTCTGTTTACTTACTTATTTTGAGTCAGAGTCTCACTCTGTCACCCAGGCTGGTGTGCAGTGGTGCGATCATCCCTGCAGCCTTGAACAGCTGGGCTCAGGCGAGCCTTTCACCTTAGCCTCCTGAGTAGCCAGAACTGTGATTTCTTTGTAGAGCCAGGGTCTCGCTGTGTTGCCCAAGCTAGTCTCAAACTCCTGGACTCAAGCGATCCTCCTGCCTCAGCCTCCCAAAGTGCTGGGATGACAGGCATGAACCACTGTGTCTGGCCTGCTTTCCTTCCTTTCAAAGCCGTTGCACCCCTGGAATACACTATATCGTTTATTTACTTCTCATGTCCTTGGCTTTCTTACTATCCACCTCTCTGAGGGCAGACAGTGGGGTTTTGGCTGTTGCCAGCGTGTCTGAATCAATGCCTGGCATACAGTAGGTGCTCAGTAATGCAGCACCCGTGCAGGGTATCCACCTCTGTCTCTTCCTCTCTGCTCCTCCCTCAAGCCGGCCCCCTTGCAGGTGTTAACTACATGCTCTCAGGGTGAAAAGGTCAAGACCAAGTGAGGCCTAGTCCTTGCCAGTACCATGCATCTGTCTCCCCAAGGCCGGATACACCCCGAGAGCTGCCTGCCATCTTGCTGCTGCACCCCCATGCAGCAGGTGTGCACAATGTGTGATGGGTGTGCTCTACACAGTGCTGCAGAGGGCAGGAGCTTGCGTCTGCTCCGTCTGCCCAGCTGGGGGTGTGCTGGGTGGAGGGAGCCTGGATTTCTCTGGAGCTAGCCTCTTGGCACCTGGACTGTCACTGTGTCACATGCACAGGTAAAGCCCAGATTTGGGCCAGGTGTGGTGGCTCATGCCTGTGATCCCAGGTGGGAGGGTTTCTTGAGCCCCGGAGTTCGAGACCAGCCTGGGCAACATAGTGAGACTTTGTCTCTTAAAAAGTAAATAAATCAAGACCTGATTTGTCTGGTGGGAAGCCAGAGTGCTAGCAGGTTAATTTCTGTGATGAGTCGTAGGACAGTCATGCTGGAAGACAGCCTTGTTTTTCCTCCAGGGTTTATGTCCAAGTGCAGTGGTGGCTTGCAGACTCATACATGGACGATTCCACCTAAGCCATGTAGACCCGAGGGGAACAGGCCATACAGGACAGAACCCAACCCATAGAGGGAAGGAGCCATTCAGAAGTACAAATGTGGAGGTCCTAGTGAGCAAGAGATGCGTTTCTCACCATAAATCATGCAAGAGTCATGTTTGTGGACAGTCAGCCACCAGCCCCATGTGAGAGGACTGGCCACTGTCATTGTCCTGTCTGGATGCCACTTGCGTCCTAAATGCCAAGCAGGATTCCCGGGGGCCCTGGAGGGGCTGTGACCCCATAGGCACTCCCTACAAGGCCCTCCTGTGAGCACAGCCGGAACCTTCCAGAGCAGCCTTGAGGGCTTCTGTGTTGCTCTTCAGAGGTCTGGCCCTTAGCCCCAAGGTTTATCACTCTTACTGGGGTCCCAGAGGGTCTCGCACAGCAGAGAAATACCTGTGAGGTTGCGTCCTGAATGCCAAGGACTGTGAATGTCCTTCTTGGTCAAGTGCAGGACCTAGTGACATCTGCTGCTCTGGCAGAGAAACCTCCCTAAATAAAAGACCCTAGAACTCCCTGCAGCCTTCCTTGGCTCAGCTGGCGACTCCTTGCCAGAGACTCAACAGGCAGCGCAGCCCAAGCCTGTCCTCTGGCCCTTGCTGTGCACATGCCCACCGAACTGGGAGATGAGCCCGCTGCCTCTCCCAAGCCTGGTCTGTGGGCGGGGGAGGGGGACTGTGCATGACCACTCCAGGGTGAGGCTGGAGAGAGTGCTTCACCACACTGGGCAAAGGCTCTGATGGGCTCTGCTGGGCAGTTGGAAGGCTTCCTGGAGTAGGTGGTGCATGGGCAGGGCCTCGGGAAACTCAACAGAGAGGGTAAGGAAAGATGTCCTGGGTAGAATGAGCGCTGAGGAGTAGGCACTGCCAAGGTCCCCGAGGAGCAGTGGGTGGGGGAGGGAGAACGAGGAGTGGACACTGCTGGAGTCCCCGAGGAGCACGAGATGAGGGAGGAAGAATGAGGAGTGGCTACTGCCGGGG